TTTAATTATTTATAAATTTATTTATACATTTATTTATATATTTATTTTTTTATTTATTTATAAATTTATTTTTCATTTATTTTTTTATTTACTTAAACTTCTATTTATTAATTTATTTATTAATTTATTTTTTTTATTTACACATTTCTTAATTAATTATTTATTTATATTTTCATTTCTTTATTTTCTTATGTTTTATTTACTTTGCTAATTTAATATATAAATTTATAATTAAATATTTAATAATTTATACATTTATTTATGAATTTAATTATTTTTTTAGTTATTAATAAATTAATTTATTCATTCTTAATAATTTTAATTCTTTATAATGTAATATAAATAAATTTTAATAATTCATTTTTATTATATTACATGGGTCTCGACGCGTAGTCACCTCCTCGTCGGTGAGACTCGGTAATTGGCATCGCTTTCCATATTTTTTTCAAAATTTATCGAAATATTTTACGAATATTTCATTAACAAATTTTTGAAATATATTAAATTTAAAAATAAAAAATTTATTTAATTAACAATAATTTTCGGAAAGCGATGGCAAGCGAAGAACTACGCATATCTGCAGTCCAATCTAAACTTTGCATAATTCTTTTTAACTATTTTTTTCATTAATTTTATTAATTTAACAGATTGGACTGCAGGTATTAATAAAATAAGTTAATAAATTATATTAGTTACAGTTAAGTTTATTACAAGCGCATTCTGTACGAAGATACACTTTTTAATTTAAAGCGAAATCTCAATTTTTTTACTTCTTCATGTATAATCTTAATAAATCTTAATGTTTCGTTTTCTATTTTCATCTTGAATTTCTCATTTTTATAGTTATTTGATCATTTTATATCGTTTTTCAATTTCTTCCTCAATTTATTCTCACGTTTTGTAGATTGTAATTGGTTTTTTGTCGCTTTCTTCACGTCAATCTCATATCATGCAACGATGGCAAGAATCGTTGGACGGGTGCTCTACTTCCGGTGGCTAGTTAAGGGTCCGCACTTTGATCGATTGGTACCTTCGAGTACTCGATCAGAGATAGGTCTTATAGTCGAATGTCATTCTTGTAAGTCGGCTCCGGTGGTCAGGAATTTATTTCTTGCTCCTTCCTGTGTCGTCAGAATGTAAGTCGTTCTTCTACAAGACTGCTGTCGTAACCCCTAACTAGTCACGACTGGAAAGTATCATTTGTCCATCGATTTTCGTAAGTCCATTGATGTAAGTCGTGATATGAGGGCGATAATGATTTAGGATTGATTTTTTTAAGTTTTATCTTCTTTTTTATCGATGATGATTCGAGTTTTGGTTTTTCTTCTTTATTTTTCCTTTTGCGCTTGTTTATGTCTTCTTCTGAATTGTATCTTCTTTTGTCTTTTTGAAATGATAGGAAATACCAAAATATTTATTTGATTTAATAATTAACAATTTCAATTTTTTCTTATTATTTTTTTCGCTTTAAAAAAAAAAAGTGTATCTTTGATATGAATGCAGATAGACTTAAGATTTAGTATTAAGCTAGATTTAAACTTTATTGTTGAATGATTAATTGTAATAAATAATTAATGTAAAGATCATTGTAAAGATTCTTTGTATTGATTCTTGTATTTTTATTTAAATAAGAGCGTATTTTTAGATGTATGTAAATTTAAGATTTAATATTAAGATCTAGATTAAGCTAGATTTAAGCCTCATCGTTGGACGCATATATTAATTGCGAACGAGAAATTGCGACAAATGTAAAGATTATTGTAAAGATTATTGTAAAGATTATTGTAAAGATTATTGTAAAAATTATTGTAAAGATTATTATAAAAATTCTTTGTATTGAAAATGTATTTTATATTTTAGATTTATTTTATATGATATTTATTTCTGTGTTGTATATTTTGTTTTATATTTTTTTAATTTATTTAATTAAATTAATCTTAATATTTTTCTTTTTTTTTTTTTAGCTTTAGGTGGGTCTCGATGCGTAGTCACCTCCTCGTGGTGAGACCTGGTAATTGGTATCGATTTTTGATAAATTAATCTTTGGAAACTTTTCAATATTTTCATTGAAAATTTTTCAAAAATTAATCTTTGGAAAGCGATACCAAGCTAAGAACTACGCGATTCTTGTATCCATTCTTCTCTGAAAATAATTTATGATTTTTTTACAGATATTCTTTTTTTGGGGTCTTGAATGATAATAATTGCATTGTATATTTGTGTTGCATAACTGATATTAATCAAATGCAAAGAAAGATTAGTAATAATTATAATAATATATATATTGAATATAAATAATTCAATGTAAAATTGGAAGTAAAATGTTGAGTGGTGATTTTCTCCACTATGTTTCTAGTGTTGCTAAGTAATTCAAACGTCGATAATAATTATTGATTGCATTATACATGTACGATAGACAGGTGCAAAAAAGCCACGATAAGAGGAAATATGTGAAATATGAAATGGAAAATCGTATACACGTATATACATACATCTTTCAAATTTAATATTTCCCCATCATGGAATTTCAAGATAAACTAGTTAACAGTATCTTCAACCATAATACGTAATGCATTGAAATACGACAAAGATGTGTATAAATACTGCAAAACAATAAAGGGATAAATACGAAAAAGTATCAAATAATAACAATTATCACGAGTAAAAAAATAGAATAAACATAATACCTTCCCGTAATAAGATAATGAAAGTGCAGGTACAATACCATTAATCCCAAAACTTTCATATTTCTGAGATCTTAAAATTATAAAAAGTATCTTTCTTTGGGTTCTGATGTCTCTTCTGTACCAATCCATATTGTACACTTTTGTAGCCATTTTCATTGTCTTAGGATAAAAGATGAAATTGAAAATGTTTTATTGTCAATTGAAATGTATCGTGATAATTTGATTACCATGTGCATCAAGCTATCCGCTGGCCAAGCGTACATAAAGAGTTCCACACTGGCACTGAACACCACGATAGTGTATAAAGCCTTCAGGGCTAGTGGCTGATTCTATTTTCAAAGTTTCAAAATTTCAATTGATTCTCAGAATCAGTTTCAACGTTTTAAAAATTAAATTACATACAGCAATTAAATTTAAACTGCCGAATATCACGGCAATGACAGTTGTTCCATTTGTTGCCAAAATTAGATATCTGATAGATCGTCGAATTTCCCTTGTATGTCTGTGCGAATTGAATAGAACCAGAATATCAGAATAAAAATGTATAATTAAATACTGTGCATTTAAAATTCTATACATTTAAATGCATAAAAAAGTATTTTAACATGCAATTTATACAATAATAAATGCAAATCAGTACGAGAAGCTTTATAACATTTAGATTGTAAAAGGTGATTACCTTAAAAGTTCATTATGCTTCTCTATGCAGGCGTCGAACTCACCGTCTGATTTCGCATTATTGAATTGAATTCCTAAAATCTCGAATCTAGCCGCGGCATATCGTAAAAGAAGAGCGATCTGAGTGTCAACAGCCATGCCTGAAGACACTTGAAACCCAACGAACGATTGATGGAAAAAGATTAAACCCTTGTATGGATGATGTCTCACTGAAAATGGATATATCGCGTGGGTGGGAAATGTTTGCGCCGTATACAATGGACTGCATATGACGAATATCGTAGTAAGAAAACTCCACAATATATAGAAACTATGAAAATATTTATATCTATCAACGTAACGTTGCAGTATGATCTTTTCTTCATTCGTGGCCTGTTTGCAAAAGTTCTCCATTTCAGAGTACAGCACCTAAAAGAGCACTTTGCTCGAGACACACGATTATTTTAATTGAAATAGAATATAAAAAATAAATAAAAAGAATAAAAGAATGTTATAGAATAAAAAAAATAAAGATAAAATATAAAAAAAGGAAAACTTTCGACCTTTGATTTTTTTTTCTTTTTTATAAATTAATATTAAAACATTTCTCAAGAGTTAAAATATTTCTCCTCTCATTTTATCGAGAGAGTAATGAACTTACTTGAAAAGGTTTCTGCTGCAAACGACATATTATCATTTTAATCGTCACTTGAGCAACAGCCGCGGTAAGGCTCACCGTTTTCCCAAGAATAATAGAATGCTTACGATATTCGTAAATGGCGGCCAATAATGGTAAAAATAATGTGACAGCGGTTAAAAACGCAATGCACCACAATACATTAAAGAAAAGATGTTGAGCTTTGGTTGCAAGAGAAGAAGGAGGCCAGGAACACGTGAGAGCAACGCTGAGTTTCGTGAACAAAATCGCTCTTTCTGGTGTTAAGCGATTTTTCATCTTGATGATGATCTTGATGATATTATAAATATATTAAAGCAATAGTACATTGATATTACGCAACAAGTTTATGTTTAATAGAATTCAAAATCTCATAAAGAATGAGAGATATCGAGAAACGTGATAGAATCTTGTATTACATACAAAACTTGATTTATTTTTTTAAAAATACGAAGAAACGCGATTTCGAAAAATGTAAAGTTTTATCGACTGATAATGTTAACTCGATGTTAACATGAATTTAAAGTGATGGTATATATCTCCCTTCGTACGCCATTGAATTCGAGATTAAATTATAATGTAACGCACAATCGTGTAATCAAGCTAGAATGTAATCGACATTGATCGATGCGTGTAATTATTTTACCGCTCCGTGAGAATACCATGTGTTCTTTGAATAGGGTAAAACAATAACTGTTTATGGTATGATATGCTTATTACGTCAAGAAAGACTATAGATAAGTACTTAGTACATGGAAAAGATTCCACAATATATCGCGAAGCAAGGAACGAATGTGATATCACAATTAATTGTATTAAATGCTTTAAAGATTTTGGTAAAATTATTTATTTATATATACACATATGTATAATTTATATTTTAATTTTTGAAGTAGAATTGTAATTTTTTGACAGTTTTATTGACAGTTTGCTAAAAAGTGTTTACAAATAAATTTTATCGAGTAAGTATAAATATTTTTTTCCTTTAGGTTTCTTTATTTCACATTCATGTAGATTTTATAAAAATTTTATAATATAGAAAATATAGAGTGACTACAAAAAGTATTTGCATTCTTATTTTCTAATAAAGCGTTTTTTTAAAAGATTATATATTTTACTTTTATAATTAAAAGTCTTATAGTCATATAAAAATAGTACAATACAAAATATATATTATTGTATATAATTAAAAAATATATATATATATTATTAAAGTCTTATAATCATATGAAAATAATACAATAAATTTAATATGCACTTGATTATTTAAATGCTACATTTATATAATATTATGTAGATATTTTTTGTAGTCACTATATAAGAAATATAAAATTTTATTCCTACATATTTACAATATAAATTTTTATCATCTTAATTTTACAATAAAATATATTTCATGACATTGTATATTTTGTACATGTATATAGTAAGTAAAATAATAATTTAATATTATCATAATTAATTTGGCAACAATTAATTTATACAAGTATAATACTTGGTTATATTTTTTTCAATCTTCAATATTTCTTCCTTTCCTAATAGGTATAAAAAAATAATTAATTTTAATCTAACTGACTTAACTTATACTAATAAATGCCCAATGAATTATGATTATAGTCTTTTATATCTATTGCTGCTCGCAAGCATTTGTCCAATATATCTCTTTAAAAATCATAGATTAATAAAAAAATAATTTTCACGATAAAGGACTAATATAAATTTCATTTCGAATAAAATATTACAAATTTTATTCGATTCATATCGTATATTCGTATATAAATTCATTTTTATTTTTATTTTGAATAATTCATATATATATAATAAAAATATTAGCAATTTTTCATCTCAATTAATTTTCATTATATACGCATTATTTACAGTATAACATCACCAAAACGAATAAAATCATAAAGTTTCAAGTCGCTTGTGGCGATGATACTTTACTCGAATGCGAGTGGGTAGGTTTCGGCCCGGTAGTTGGTATTTTAGCAGAGACTGGACACAAAATCTGCTTATAAGCCTCTCTGTAAAGCTTGTTAGTGCCGGCATAAATGAAAGGATTGATCACAGAAGAAGCCCACGCGAGCACAGAAGCTATCACGTGCAAAATTGGGATTTTTATTTTATCGTCGATCACATTGACGAGCATGAGCGGCATGAAACACAAAAGGAAGCACAGAAATATAGTCAACATTAATCTGGTCACTCTAGAATCCTCTCTTCGTTGAAACCCTCCTGCTTTTCTTCTGTTCGGGCCGGCATGGGCTTCCAAATTTTTTCTGCTCTTCCTCACACGCCAATAGATGCAAAAATAAGAAACACTTATCACAACGCATGGCACGATGAATCCTAGAACGAATAAGAATTTCTTTGGGCTGCTACCGTTCTTCTTTAGTATAGTGCAAGAGAAGGTGGACGGTTCCAAGCCTAGTGTTCCCCAGAAACCGAGCAATGGCGGCAAAAGTAAAGTGAAACTCAATGTCCAAATGGCGATTAGCATTAAAATGATTCGTTGAGTGGTGTACAATTGAGCGTATATTTCTGATCTCGAGATTAATATATATCTGAAATTTTGTCAATCGATTAGATGAATATCTGGAAGATATAATTTTCAATTATTTATTAATTTATTATTAATTGTTTTGATTTTATAATTTTATGTTTTACAATCTTTATTTTAATAATAATTATTCTTAATTTTTTAATCATTTTTATTACAAAAGTATCGATTTAAATTCGATAATTGTTAATAATTTGCAATTCAACATAAATAGCAGCTGTTCGTATTGGATTTATCACGCGTACATTTGATCTTATTCAGATGAGCAATGGATTAAGTTCCATTGAAGTATGCTGACTTTGTTAAATCAGTCGTATAATAATTCGTCAGCATACTTTAAAATAAATTAAACAAGAAACTTTGTTATTACAGGTGTCTTACTGTGTGTCAAAACATTAGAGAAAATATCGAAAGATTAGAAAAATATTTGAAATTCTTATAACAATTATTTATTTTTATTAAAATTACCAACCGATTAATCGTGATTGCCACCATACTGAGCAAAGATACCGCGACATTTCCATAGAAAAAGAGCGGAAATATTTTGCACAGAGTTTCACCCAGCACCCACGCCTCGTTTAAATATCTGCTCGCAGTTAATGGTAGATTTACCGCGGAAAAAATCAAGTCAGAAATGCTGAGACTTATTACGAAAGCGGTCGTAGCATGCCGTCTCAGCCTCGTGTATTTTAATAATGCTATTACTGTTACCAAATTGCCTGAAACATAAGAAAAATAATTAAAAAAAGAAAAACAAGTGAAAATTACAAATACAATTTTTACATTTAATTTAAAATAATTAAACAACAAGTGGATATCATAGATATTAATTTTTAATAATGTGATAAAAATAATCATATGGATATCATTTAAATAAATATATATAATAATATACAAGGAATATGTGAGGAATATATTCGCGCAATTGAAGCTTCGTTATTTGAAGTCGTAAAAGAAGCAAGCACATAATTAAAATAGAAGGAATTAATCGTTCTAATTCTTGACACCCTCGTGCATAATTTAAGGGCGTTTAATAGCTGTTAAACTGAGAAACGCCATCATGGGTCAACAAGAACTTAACCACAGAATTGAAACGTACAATTAAACGTTCAGTCACATCTGTATAGATTATTTTCCTCCTCTATTTCTGAAACCTTTTCTGAAACGATGGAAGACTTTTATAAAATAAGTTTCACAAATATAATTCTCTTGACGATTATTTTATGGAAAATTCTTTTCTTTTTTTTAAGAAATTTCTAATTAATTTTGAATTTTATAAAAACTTGCAATCGATATGAAATAATTTATTTCATATAAGTGTAAAGAAGTAAAGAAACTGGATTTTACCCGCAACTCCAACGACACTGAAAATTATCGCGCAAACCGCAGCTGCGATAGTGACTGGCCGTGGAAAGTGCTTGAGACTCTCACCTCCGGATTCGAAAATTGTGTCGTTTGTTACAGAATCGTCCATTTTGTATCGTGTTTATGTGCTTCCTCGATGTGACATTTTCTTGGACAGTGAAATACAGAACGAAGTGCGTACACTTTGAGAAAAGAGAAAATTGATATCATTAGGACACCTGGATTTAATGTCAACTATACATTTACGATACAAATATATGATCTTATCAAATATACAAAATTTTACAGAATTTTTACATCCATTACATGAATTCAATATTTAATAAATTCATATTGATATTATATTAATTTAAAAATGCATCTTCACGATTTTTCTATATAATAGAAAAATAAAAATAAAAATAGATGGAAATTTAGAATAAAATTTCAATTTAAGATATATTTACATTACAATTGTGATATCATTCATCGTGTTTATACATGGAAATTTTCTTCTTCTCATTCAATCAATTACAAATTATTCATCGATTTGTACTAATCGAACGATATTTTTCCAGATTTTGATGTGAAAATTTCGATTCAAGTCGTTGACTTTTTTATCACAAGTTGGACAAGATGAATGAAGCCAATGTTTACCACTGCCTTGTATTGGCCCCATCGAAAGTTGACTGGTCTAAAACAGAAAGCAACGAGATAACACGTTTAACTTAATTATCCATGATTCACGCATCAAGAGAGAAAAAGAACCTTGGTTTATTAATTGAAACAACGATAACAGAATTCCTTATCGACGCCCTTTCACAATTTATTACAGACACTGTTAATGAATCTTTCCCAATAACGAATCGTTATAAAATTCAGAACTTTCCTTCGCGATATTCTTTCTCGTTATCTCAATTTTAATTAAAAGAAGCTCTGGCACGATAAGGAGAGACAAATTATTCGTGAAGTAACGTATCCACTAACGTCACGTTTCGATATGAAAAAATTCATACAATTTAATTTTATTACTCGCAGAAAACGAAATCTAAAAATTAAATTGAAATAATTTAAAAGACATGGATACGACGTCGAAAATAAAAAGTGTAGATTTAAAAAAAAAAAGAAATTACACGATAAAATACATTGAAAAATAAAATATCGTATTTATTGGAAAAATTTCGAACGAACCTCAACAACAAACACTTTTTTATTCTTATTATAAAGAGGATTGAAGTTTGAAAATCCAACGAACCACCACATTTCTATATTGTTGAAACTCTGTGCCACTAGATTTGCATATGCCAATCGTCGCTCCACTGTCTGGAACGATTAAACGCATGAGGAGGGCTCCTTATCCGAGCCAGCCATTCGAATACAACTCACTTCTCCTCTTCTTTTTATTCGTTCATTAGCAGCGACTCGTTCTATCCGTTCTCGTTCTCCGATTTTCTTCCCATCGTCGTGGCGACATCGAAAAAACGAGGGGCCGAGGGGAATCCTTCAGACCTCGACGAAAAGAAAGAAAACCTCTTCCTCTTCTTTATCCCTTCCGTTTACTCTGGAATGGTCATGGGATTTGAACTTGTTGCGACAGACGCGGAAAGTTGTTCTTGGAACTATCGGAATCCGCTGAACTTCGACCTTGCCTTATTGAAAATAATTGATTTTCACTGGTTTCTTGGAAATACTGGCATTGACGTGATATGTTCATTTCCAATTTTCCAAAGATCTTTCTTTGTCTCCTCGAAAAATCTTGGAAAACGAAGGTGAAGATCTTGGAAATCTTTGAAATATATTATCGACGAAATTTGTGAAATCTTGGAAATTTGAATAAACATCGATAAAAGTCGTGGAGGACGCTAACAAAAGTTTTAGAAAACTTTGAGAACTCTTGAAAAATATGAAGGAGAAATAAATTTTTTACATTATTTCGTGACTCGATTCTAAATTAAATATCTGAGATTTGTGAGTCAATTGATTTCTAAGTATTATTTCATCAAATTTCTTTTTTCAACGTTGTCATTATAAACAGGTAACTTATTGTATAATGAATAATCGCTGTTATCTTCAAATTTCTATCTTCTTCCTGCTCTTTCTTCAAATCAAATCATCATCGATAACACCTCACAAAGGGTCACATTCAGTTCAGAAACTCGATTATTCAATACCACTCTATTTCACTATGTTTCTTCTTTCTTTCTCACCACCAAAGAAATACCCTCGTAATTTTTATATATACGATAACACCTTATCCCAAATCTATAAACCTCCACCATTTCTCTATACCAATCTCGATTCTTTTTATTAATTATTCATCTTTTTCACTCAAGAAGCGATCCAACAACAAACTTTTTTATGACTTCTTGAGTCTTGCAAACAAAGTGAATAAAATTATTTAATAAAATTCCAAAACTTTCAAGTTTTCCACACTTTTAAAAATATTTCTCGCAATTTTTTACAATACTAAAACAGTCGCAAACTCGTTTCGCCTAGTTGACACAACGATCATTCCTCGACTGACGAGATTCGTCGACGCTTTACTCCCCTTTTACACGAGGAATACAATTCTTATCTGCCACTTCTTTCATTTAACTCTCTCGCTTCCTCCATCGCTGCCTTTTTTACGGTTCTTTCGTATTCCGCCTCTCTGAACCCTTGCCTCTTTCGCCCAAGCATCACTGCCACCAAGAAATCGTAATTAA